CCAAATTTTCTTTAACGGAGAGTCTCCAGACTGATTAGCGAGTGAAACCTTGAAACCTCGCGAGATCAGGATGGTCTCATGAGGGTATAGCTGTCCATCATCTGACACAGCACATAAAATGCTGTTAAAACCCCACAGCTGAATAAAATCCTCAATTTCTGTGTGGCTCAGTGGAAGTGAAATTTTAGCCTCATTCTGGCTTTAATGCTGCACTTCCACAGAGCCACAGCATCAAGCTCCCTCCTGCCGTCTGTCTCTGCGGGACAAGTAAACGGCCATCTTTACTTCACTGATTAAAACATTTAAAAGTTGGGCCTTTGGTTTATTTTTCCTATTCTGGCAAATTCATCCTATAAAAAGAGCGTTTGTAAAAAGCGTCCCGAAAGACTAAAAACGCAAATTAAAAGGCTAAAAATTTTCTTTAGTCTTGTGCATTCCATAAAAAACGTGGAACACATGTTCAGACAGACCCCAGAAAGGACACTCCTTTAAAATACCCCGATTAATAACCGGTAAAAATTTGTTTGTGGCGTTGGCACAGGAATATTCTGGAAAATAAAAAGAAGAAAGAGAAGAAAAGAAGAAAGACCGACCACAGAGTGAAGGATGGATAAGGAGGAAGCAGTTGGAATATGGATTCATTAGCTTCATGCTTTCTCTCTGGACCTTCCATACCTGGGGAATGAAGACCTCTCCCTCTCCAGGTATTCTCCCAGAGCTTTCTGGATCTTTCCCAGCAGGTCAGCCAGTCTCTCCAGAGACCTCTGCACTCCCTGGATGTTCAGCACATCCATCACCAGAGGAGACTTTGTCACCTTCTTCATCAGGGCCAAAAACTCTGTGCTGATGCTGCAGGACAGTGACAGGAGGGCAGTGTTACCCCAGTTCATTCGGTTCCCATTTACTCTCATAATTTACAGCATTCACCTCTGGAATCGTTGTGTTTCTACAGGCAACAGATGTTTGATGTCGGCACTGCCTGTAAAGATGCCTTCCAGATACACCCAGCGCCTCTGGACGTCGATCCAAACGTCAAACAGAGCCATGATACGGTTGAGCTTGTCCTCCCAGCTTAGAGCATCTTCCTCAAACACCTGAAAGAGAAGAGAAAAACAGGTTGAGAACACGCTCAATCATCATAGATGAGCAATCCAAAGCAAAATGGCACAACGTAGCTTACCTTGTAGTAAGGAGACAGCTTCATGGCCGACACGCTGTTGATGTGTTCCTTGACCTTGTTGAAGAGGTCGTCCCAGCCTCTGATCAGGCGGCATTTGTTCTGATAGTTCACCAGGTCCAGTTCATATGAGTTCCAGACTTCACGGATCTGTGAAGATGAAAAAAACCCAGTGATGGTCACACAAATGGGAAGGATAGAAAATTTCAGGACTAAAAAATGAAAAGATGGACCAACAATCAGAAGGACAGATAGACCAATGGACTGAAGGAAGGAATTTAACCCTGCATCACTCTCACCTGTTTCAGGAACTCCTCCAGAGCCATCTCTCCCTGAGCCACCAGGAGAACATCCTTCACCACCATCTCGTTTTTCTGCAGATCCACATCCCAGATCTGCCCCAGTGTCAGCTCCGAAAGCACCCAGTTCACATGCAGGCGCTTCATCAGCTGCTTCCAGTGCCGATCCTTCAGAGCCTCCGACTTCAGCTCGATCACCAACATGTTGACCTGATCAGGAAGTGGAATTAAGTACAGAGTCTCTAAAAAAAAAAACACAATGACAACATGTGCTGAAAGTAGAAAGTCTGTTTTAGACCTTCAGGTATCCCTTCAGTAGCCTCTGGACAAATTCATAAGATGCATATTGTCTCAGTCGGGCCTGGAAGTTCTTCAGCTGGTTCAGGAGGCCATCCAGACTCTGTCGAAGCTGAGAAAACAACATGCAACAACTTTAGTCTCTGCAGAACTCAGCAGAGCAACCTAAATCTAGCTAAGTCATTTATTTCTTAAAATAACTGCATTTGTTCTTGAATTGAGGACGTAAAAGAGACATTTTGCCAATAGAACGAGACAATTTACATTTAAAATAAGAAAACACAACTGCATTGGTTTATTTCAAGTGCATATTATCAAATTATCTTATTTTAAGAGTAAAAGTACCCATTCCATTGGCTAATCTTGTTTACCTGCTTAAATTAAGGATAAATACATAAATTTAAGAAATTTTTACTTATTTCTAGATCGTTTTTCCAGTGAGGAGAGCATGGTGTCCAAAAGGGATGGGTTTTTTTTGCTGTACCTTGCGAGGCTGCACAGAAACCCACGGCTGCTCTTTCATTTGGTCGATCTGCTCCCACACCTTGGACAGCTCTGACCACACCTCTTTCAGGTCGTGCAGCTCCTCCAGTGCCACCTTTTATGAGGTCAGAAAATGCAAACGGTCATTTCTAGATTTTTCACAGATAAAACAGGCGGCATGAATTCTTGATTCAATACTCCAGTAGGCATCACCTGCACTCGCTCTTCGCTGCCGCTGAGAAGTCCTGTATCTGTGAGCTCCAGCGCCTCTTTGGCACGAGCACACTTCTCCCGCTCCACCTTAAGACGGCCAAAGTTCCCTTCATAGATGGTCAGAGACTGGAGGGCTTCTTCAGGACGCAGATTTCCCTACAAGAAATAACAGTTTAGATGCTAAAGTATCATAGGTAAGTTTTGGGTGGTCTGAGGAGGGAAGAAGCTTGTCTTACGGCAACAGGTTTGGTCTTCTCCCAGTCATTGAGGAGGTCCGTGGTGCGGTTCTCCACAGCTTTGTCCTCCTGGACAATTTTCATCTGGAGGGTGGCGACCTGCTGCTGGATAGCGGTGTCTTTGCGCTTCATGATGTCGCTGAACGCACCCCATTCACCCTCGATGTTGTCGATGTAGAGCCAAGATGGTGGGAACTGGAAGCGCTGTTTCTCCAACAGTCGCTGTCCGTTACGGAACAACTGCGATAAAAAAAAGGTTAAAAGCGGGGGTTAGGAGGACGCATTCCAACTCCGGAGCTAAAACAACGGGAGCAGCGCTGGACGCAGCCGCTTACCTCCACATTCTTCTCAAACTGCTTGATCTTGCGTTTCAGGGTCTGGACATACGTGATGAAGTTGACGGCGTCTGAAGTGCTCGCCGTGTCCACAGAATGCTGTTCGAGATCTTGTCGAGACTGGAAAAGGGAAGCAACATTTCTAAATCGGGTTAAAAATCAGGAGATGCACAGAGAATCCAGAAAGCCTGAAACTGACAAACTTGAGTAAAAACCTGGGTGTATTTCTATGCATCAGTGAGGCGCTTAAAATGAATACATTATTTAGACAGGCATGTGGATTACACAGGCTGAAGGAGAGCAAGGTCTTCAGGTGATAATAGGAAGAACAAAATATTTCATAAAAAAATCTGTAGTTCTTATTGCAAAATTACCGTTTTTTTTGGCAAAAATGTTATTTTAACAACAAACACAAAATCTAAGTGTTGCTTTTGTTCCATCTGTCCTTTTGGAGTGAGCAAGACTATTTAATCAAGAACATTTTATCATACATTTGCCTAGAGTTAAGTTTGGATGACATAAAAAAAAAGCAAGATAAAAACTTAAATGAGAAATCCTGATCCGCTATGGTTTGTATCAGTCCATCTACTGAGTACGTTTATAACCAACCAGGCGAACACAGTGTCCTTTACCTTGGAGATCTGGGAATGGAAGTCCTGCATGTTCTGGCCGAGCATCTGACCAAACTTGCTGAGGACCTCTTTGTGCCAGGAGTCGTACTTCAAGTTGACCTTAGACTGGACCTGTTGGAGGGGGTCCGAAAGAGTCGTTTAGAAACGCCACAGAAACGCACCGAGATAAGACCACAGCAGGAAATGGAGCCAGAGACAGTGTTCAGGTTACCTTGCCATAGTCTATGATCACAGGTCCAAAGTCTTTACGGGTTTCGGCGTTGTCAAAGGTTCCGCGTGCTTTCCGGATCTGGACCAGGAGGGCCTGCCACTTGGTCAGGTCTTCACCGAGGCGGTTGTAGATGTTTTCAGCCTGCATGTCCCAAAGGCACTGGTACTGCAGCCACACCTGGACAGGCGGAACAGAAAGGGAGGTCGGTTAATAAGGAAAATAAAAAGGTTGATTCAGGTTTCCTTCAGGTGATCGTTTACTGGGATCCTACCTTCACATACTGCTCCACTTCACCAACTATGTCCTCCACTGCATTGTAGGATTCCTCCAAAGCTGCTGGACCGTCTGGCATCCTAGTCAGGGCGTTTCTGTAGAACTTCTCCTCTTCTGAGAGCTCATAGTGGACACCCACCTGATCGGAAAGGACAGGCTGGTTCAGAAAACAGAACTGCTGGATGACGGAACATGCAGAACTAAAGAGTTTCCTGCCTGGTATCTTTGGCTCTGAATCCTGGGCAGAGAAAGGATGATAGTCTTCCAGGCGAACATCTCCTGGTAGAGCTTGTAGCGGCAGTCTTCAATGGGAGGATTCAAATAAATCACCTGGTTGGTGATCCTCAGCTCATGGACAATATTCTGGAAATTCAAAAAGGAACCGATTTAACAGCGTTCAGATATTTATGGATTTCTGAAGCTGCAGACGAGGGCGACCGTGAGAGTGACCTTGATCTTGGGGTCTCCTCCTGGCTTATGTCCGACCTGCGGCGCCTCCGTGTCCATGTCCACATCAGCTTTATCTTCTACCTGGCCACGGAGCACCTGGGTCCAGGCCTTCAGACCAGCCTGGAGACGCACGCCAAGGATTCGCTCGATCTATGGGAACAATCGGGGTATATGAGCACATTAGGCGACTGCGAGAAGAAATCAGCAAAAACTAAAAAGTCAAATTCTTTATTAGAATAATACTGACAAGTTAAAACTGACTAAATAAAACTGACAGCTAAATGGGCTGTGTATCACAGTTAGCTTGTCGCAGATATGATGTAGACATTTTTGATTTATGCCCAATTTTGAAGCGAGGTCTACGCTATGTTAGGACGTTAGGATGGTGGGTTTCCTGTCGGTTTGACGAGCTTGTTCGCCGTCTACAACCCCTCATCAAACGCTGGACGACACAGTTCAACCGTAGTGTTCCCGAAAGACTGGCCGTCGCAAAGAGCTACAAACTAGCGTCCTGCACGGTGTCTGTGATAGTGTCCGAGGTGCGCCAGGCGTTGTGGACGGCACTACAGCCAGAGTTTCTGCCATTAGGAACCAAACTGGAAATACTCATAGTGTAGACAGGATGTAGAAGTGGCCAGTCAGAGGCGTCCTTTTTCTCCTCCCTGCAACGCCATTTGTGGCACCCTCTAAAATTGTGGACCAGAGTGTCTACGGAGGGGAAGGGGGGGCATATCTGCGTTTACTGTGACACACAGGCAGACGACCTGGATTCTGAGCATAAACAAGGCTTTAGAGTTTAGCACATCCTCTGGCTGCTTTTGTATTGATATGGAATTAAACGCCAATTGACTTCATCTTTCAGAAGCTGGTTTCTTGCCCTGGGTTTTATTAAAAGGCATCGGAATAAAGGGGCAGCACTGAAGTGCCATTTAGTTCATTCTGCCTACCTCGATGTCGAGCTTATTGACCCAAATTGGAAGGTTGGAATAGGAATGGAGGTTGAGGTCATCCACGGCTTTCTGGACCCGGTTGAGGATGTCAGAGAAGGTTTTGTGGTCAAACATGCAGGTCTCCAGAGAGCGGACCTCCAGATCGATCTTCTCCTCGATCAGCAGGAGGTCATCAACCTGAGGGCAAAGATGTGTTTCAGCATCATAAATATCTGTAGTGTTCACATTCTCTTTAAGCCAGCTGAGAATATGAGGTCCTCACCTTCTCCTGGAAGTTAAAGACCGTCTCGGCCAGTCTCTGGACATACGGGTCCAGCTTGTAGGATTCCCAGACCAGAGTGATGCCCTCTGTGATGAGGGCCTGGACCTCTTTCTTAAGGCCGGCCACTAGTAAGGAGATGGAAGACCTCTCCTCCACTTTCTCACATGTGCGCTCGTAGGTGCGGACGCTCTCGATCAAAGAGATGGCGAACGGGTAGAGCTGGTTAGCCTGGTGGGCTTTGTTGACGATGGCCAAGGGAACACGGAAGCTGAGCCACTTCAGGTTGCGGACCTCTTTGGACAAGGTGATGATCTCAGGGAGGAAGTTGACTTTAAGTTTGAGTATGTTTCCAGACCTCCCACGGGCCCGGGTGCTCTCGATGGTGAAGATCCGGCCGGAGACGCCCAGATTACGCTGCTGCACCTAAAACACGCAGACGAACATCTAGAAAGGAAACAAAAAGCTATGTTTCAAGGAGGCAGAAGGAGAGTTCCTCACCTTGCGAGCCCAGTCATCAAATATCTCCTGAGTGTTGAGCTTAGCCCTGAAGCTATCTCCATCCTGTTTCAGCTTCAGCCCCTCCACGTGGTTCTCCCAGCCTTTTCCCAGAACGTCCTCCACCCTCTTCATGTATGCAGTCAGCTGTCGGTCGATCTGCTTGGCCCAGATGATGGAGCCGGACACGGGAGGCAGGTCGCGGACATGGCTCATCTTGCAGGCCTGGCTCTGCGGATACTGAACTTTGAACTTGTCGTGCAGAGACTCGATGTCGTCTTTGACGCGCTGAATGAGCTGCGTCTGGTACTCCCGGATGGCCCCGCGGATGTGGGGGCGCACAAAGAGCGCGTTGAAGCGGGAGAAGATGCGGAACATCTCGTTGGCGTTCTTGGCAGTTCCCAGCTGGTCGCGCAGCCGGGCGGTGATGCGGGTCTCCACGCGGTCGATGCGCTCGTCATAGCGCTTCATGGCGGCTTCCCAGGCTTCCATGCCTTCCTTGGACACGTCCAAGCCGTCAACCTCTTTAACGTTCTCGTACGCCAGGTTGACCTCTTCGATAGCGTTAGCGTCAGCAGCGTCGAGGAGGACTCCGGCTACCTTCATATCCTCGGGCTCCACGGTTTCTCCCGGGGCGTGCTGAGGCACCGCAGACACCTGAAAACAACAAAACAGAGTTATTGATGATCCAATGCTCCCTAATCACTCACCACCCATCTGATTCTAACCTTTGCGAAAAAGTGGACATATTAGGCCTTTTAAAAGAACATCTGTTTGCAAGCATTTACAGATCAAACATCTGATCACTCTGACTGTTAGTGCTGAAACAATCAGATTAATCAATTATTGAAACAACAACTAATTTAGTCATCGATTAATCGTTAACTGGAGTATATAAACCCTAAAACATGCCTTTATCTCATAGAGAGTGCAGTTTAGAGCAGCAGTTGTACCAAAATTGTAATAAAAATAAAAAACAATGTATCTAATGGACCCATTTCATAAGGAAAGAACAATATCAACATACAATGTTGTATAAATATACATTTTTACAGCACAGGGACAACTATTGTAGAAAATCACATTTTTATGCTATAATATGTTACATCGTCACATTAAATAGAAATTAATCTAGAAAGTGTCTGATTTCCTTTCTGGGGAGGAAAAGAAAACCATTTTAAACACCTTTGAGCTACTATGGTGTTATGCAACGGCTGCAACTGATTATTATTTTGCTAATTGATTAATCTTTTGATTATTTTTTCGATCTATCGATTAGCCAAAGATTTGTTAAAGAACATTTTTTTAAAATTAAACTAGGTGAAACTAAAAGTTTTTGACTTGTGGAATTCTGGATGAAAAAGGTTTTTTATATCTCAAATGCAAAATATTTGTTTACAATTTTTGTATAATTCCTGCTCTAAGTGGGTCGCTCTGTCAACTACACATGTTTTAAAGTCTCTTTAGTCCAGTTAATGATTAATCCATTACTGCCGTATTTTCGTGACTATGAGGCGCATATAAACGTGTTTTTTTTCCCCTCAAAATGTGCGGCGCGCCCTATAGTGCGTTGTTACTGCGGACGTTGTTGAGACCGCCATGAGAACGTTTAAGTAGGAAGTGTGGGCGTGGATTGTTATAAAAAGTTGTTGATAAAAGAACAGGTATGTGCTTTATGCAGAACATTGTTGTCTTAGCAACCCTGAAAATGGCAAACAGACACGCCTATGAGGCAAAGTTTAAACTGAAGGCTATCAGCTACGCAGAGGAACATGAAAATCGAGCAGCCGCGAGAGAATTCAAGATTAATGAATCGATGGCTTGCAAGTGGAGGAAGATGGAAATGAACGCTGTGCTTGCTGTTATTCCGGGAG